TTGGCGGGCCCAGGCTGGATTCGAACCTGCCACCTTAGGTGTATGTGGCTGGCACCTTAGCCACTTGAGCCACAGGTGCCGAGCCAACAGATTTTTATTATTATTATAATTATTTATTTTTTAGAGACAGGGTCTTGCTCTTTCACCCAGGCTGTAGTGAAGGGGCACAATCATAGCTCACTGTAGCCCTGGACTCCTGGCTGGGCTCAGGTGATCTTCCTGCCTTAGCCTCACAAATAACTGGGACTATGGGCATGTACTACCATGCCTAACTTCTATCTATTTTTAGAGATGAAGGCCTTGTTGCTCTTCTAATGTTGCCCAAGTTGGTCTTAAACTGGCCTTCAGTAATCTTCCCTTGTCATTGAAATTACAGGTATCAGCCACTGTGCCCAGCAACAAAATTTTATTATTCTTTTTCGGTTTGTTTTTTATTTTTGAGACAGAGTCTCACTTTGTCGCCCTTGGTAGAGTGCTGTGGCATCATAGCTCCCAGCAACCACCAATTCTCGGGCTCAAGCTATTCTCTTGCCTCAGCCTCTTGAGTAGCTGGGACTATAGGTGACTGCCACACTGCCTGGTTAGTTTTAGAGACAGGGTCTCACTCTGGCTTAGGCTGGTCTCAAACCTTAAGCTCAGGGCAATCCACCCACCTCAGCCTCCCAGAGTGCTAAGATTAACAGGCATGAGCCACCATGCCCGGCCTAAAACTTTATTATTTATAAAAATTACCTGGCTATTTTTGATGAGTACTTCGGCTGGATCACTAGTGCTTATGGTCTTTGAGGAAAAAGCTTTTTCCTGTTTTGGACGGGCTTTAGAGGTATTTACTGGAAGCTCTTCTTTATTAGTCTCTTTTTCCAATTCTTCTGTGTCCTACAGAGAAAAGTACTCTATCAGATTATAGAAATCATTCATTCTTTATTAATTAAAATCTATTTTGCTTACTGTCCATATCCCAAGAAAATAATTTCAATTCAGAAAGTGTCCAACTTCAATTCTGAATTAAAAAAACAAAAACAATACACACACAAAACAATACACATACATACACACATCCCAGAATGATAACCATTCTAATTTAATAAACAGGATAAACTTAAGCTAGTATGTATTTTTTGTTCTTTTTTTGGTCCCAAGACAGAATCTTGCTCTGTTGCTCTGGCCAGAGTACAGTGGCATGATCATAGCTCCCTGCAACTTCAAATTCCTGGGCTCAAGTGATCCTCCTGTCTCGGTCTTCTAAGTAGCCGGGATTATAGGTGTGTGCCACCACGCACAGCTAGTTTTTCTATTTTTTGTAGAGATAGGGTCTCACTAGTCTCAGACTTCTGACCTCAAGTGATCTTCCCACTTTCTCCTCCCAGAGTGCTAGGATTACAGGTGTTGAGTCACTATGCCTGTCCTAAACTAGTTAAAACTAAACAAGTCCATAGTGAATTAAAACTTTAAAAATAGTACATCACCTATTGACTTCTTCAAGGATTAAAATGTTTACACATAAGTGAATTTTCTAGATAAATTAAGCTTAGTAGTAGGAAGGACATAAACAGGAATCCCAATTTTGATCATGCCACAGTCTAGCTATATATTCTCAAGGACAAATCACTTGGTTTCCCTGAGCTTTACTTCCTTAACTAAAAAAAATAACATTTGCCCAGATAAGTCCTAAAGTCCTATCTAAGCTTTAACATACTAAGCTATTCTTTACTCTCTCAGACTGTTAAAAATTTCAACACAATAATTCTATTTTTTTTTATATTTTATTTATTTGTTTAATTTTGTTGTTGTTGTTGTTGCAGTTTTGGCTGGGGCCAGGTTCGAACCTGCCACCCTTGGTATATGGGACCGGTGCCCTACTCCCTGAGCCACAGGCACTGCCCAACACAATAATTCTAGAGCACATTATATGCTTAGGTAGGTGAAAGAAGTATGAATTATAATGTACAGGAACATCACTGTGAGTTGTACTGTTCTTTAGCAAACACATCTGTGTAAATAGTGGTTGTTTTTTTATTTATTTTTAATTTTATTTTTTCTCTGGTTGTTCTTTTTTTTTTATTGAGACAGAGTCTCACTTTGTCACCCTTGGTAGAGTGCCATGGTATCACAGCTCACAGCAACCTCAACCTCTTGAGCTCAAGTGATTCTCTTACCTTACTCCCTAGTAGCTGGGGCTATAGGTGCCTGCCACAAAGCCTGGCTATTTTTTTGTTGTTGTTTGAGCCTAGGCCAGGTTCGAACCCACCAGGCCTAACCACTGAGCTATGGGCACCCTGTGGTTGTTCTTTTAAACAACTGTCTAAGGTGATGTTTTTTTTTTTTTTTGAGACGGAGCCTCAAGCTATTCCCCTGGGTAGAGTGCCATGGCATCACGCTCACAGCAACCTCCAACTCCTGGGCTCAAGCGAGTCTCCTGCCTCTGCCTCCCAAGTAGCTGGGACTACAGGCGCCCGCCACAACGCTCGGCCATTTTTTGGTTGCAGCCATCATTGTTGTTTGGCGGGCCTGGGCTGGGGATTCGAACCTGCCACCTTAGGTGTATGTGGCTGGCACCTTAGCGGCTTGAGCCACAGGCGCTGAGCCCTAAGGTGATCTTAAAATGTTTCTTCCAACATTGATAATCTTTTTTTTTTTTTTTTTGAGACAGAGTCTTACCTATGTCATCCTTAGTAGAGTGCCGTGGTGTCATTAGCTCATAGTAAGGCTCAAACTCTTGGCCTTAAGTGATTCTCTTGGCTCAGCCTCCCAAGTAGCTGGGACTACAGATGCCTGCCACAACACCTGGCTATTTTTTTTGGTTGCAGTTGTCATCGTTTTTTAGCAGGCCTGGGCTGGGCTTGAACCTACCAACCCTTGGTGTATCTGGCCAGTGCCCTACTCACTGAGCTAAGGGCTCTGGGCCCCAATATTGATATTCTGTGAAACGTTTTTGGGATAGCAGGATAGTAAAATTTGAATTTATATAGCATAGTAGAACCTCAGTAAGTTGACCATCCAAGGGATTGTAATAAGCTAGTCAACAAGTGGAGGTGGTCAATATAAGGAACTAGACCTTAGTACATGTGGCGCCTGTCTGGTCTATGAAAATTAGCTCAACTTAAGGAGGTGGCCACGGTAGGGAGGTGGTCAACTATGGAACTTCTTCCGTAACTCAAAATTTTGCTATAAATTTAAGCTGACCAAGTAGCTTTGGAAATATGTGTGGTTTATAATCTTATAAAGTTAATCAGAAGGCAAGAGTTTATTTCCATCCTTAATTGAACTCTAATAGTGAAGGAACCCAACCAGCCACATATCAATAGCTAAAAGAAAACTTTATTGAAAAAAGAACAAATCTAAAATACAACTTTTATGAGTAAGATGTATATGCTATATACTCTGCAGAGAACTTCGAGGGTAACTAATTCTCAAAACAACCTATGTAGTTGTGTAACTTATGCAAGATAAAAACAAGGAAACGGCAGATTTTCAATACAGATCTAACTCTAAACCTTGAATTCTTATTAATTATAAAAAAACAGATTAAACATTTTAAAAAGGACTACTAGTTTAAAAAAAATAAATAAAAAGGACTACTAGTATGCCAAAGGAACTTTCACATACTAAATGAACTCTGCCAGTAAGTTGAACATTTTAGAATATGACTATCCCACAAAATTTCTTTTAAAAGGAATTTAGCTGGCTCGGCGCCTAGAGTTCAACTGGCTAAGGCGCCAGCCACGTACACCTAGGGTGGCGGGTTTGAATCTCCAGCCTGGACCCGCCAAACAACGACAGCTGCAACCAAAAAATGGCCGGGCGTTGTGGCCGGCGCCTGTGGTCCCAGCTACTTGGGAGGCGGAGGCAGGAGACTCGCTTGAGCCCAGGAGTTGGAGGTTGCTGTGAGCTGTAATGCCACGACACTCTACCCAGGGGGACAGCTTGAGGCTCTGTCTCAAAAAAAATAAAATAAAATAAAATAAAAGGAATTCAGCTAATCTACAACACAGAAAAAAAAACTGATTTAATAAAGAACATAGTTTAAGTCACAAAAACTCGAGACTTGGCTAGAATGGACTTCAGGGAGTTTTACTTATAAAGGATAGCTGTTAGTAACATTTATCAGCCTGCTCCAGCTAACAAAAAAAGTACATCTATTACATAGTTTTACTTGTTTATATGCATTGATCTTAGCCATGTTAACCTTAATGCCCACACTTTTTTTTTTTTTTTGGAGACAGTTTCAGTATGTCACCCTCAGTAGAGTGCTGTGGCATCCCAGCTCACACCAACCTCAAACTCTTGGGCTTAAGCGATTCTCTTGCGTCAGCCTCCCAAGCAGTTGGGACTACAGGCACCCGCCACAACATATGGCTATTTTTTGGTCGTAGTTGTCGTTGTTTGGCAGGTCTGGGCTGTGTTTGAACTCTCCAGCTCTGGTGTATGTAGCTGGTGCCCTAGCTGCTGAGCCTTAGGCGCCAAGTCATGCCCCTCCCCCCATTTTTACTAGTGTTTTACACATACACACAAATTTCTATTACACACAGAAAAAAAATCCCTAGCATTGGCTAGGTGCAGTGGCTCATGCCTATAACCTTAGCACTCTGAGAGGCCAAGGAGGGTATACTGCTTGAGCTGAGGAGTTTGAGACCAGCATGAGCAAGTGTGAGATCTTGTATCTAAAAATAGCCACGCCCTGTGGTGGGTGGTTATAGTTCCAGCTACTTGGGAGACTGAGGCAAGAGGATTGCTTGAGTCCAAGAGCTGGAGGGTGCTGTGAGCTATGATGGCCGGGCACTCAACCCCAGGGCAACTGAGTGAGACTGTCTTAAAAAAATACGAAAAAACAACCCCCACAACAAAATCCCCCTAGGCTTGATAATAAATTGGTATCACTTATGAAGGTTTGTGCTTCCCACAATAAAAAAGAACTGAAGATGTACTTCTTAAAGAAGTCATGTAGAAACTTTTTCCAAATAGATTGATTAGTAAGTAGGAAAATTTGCAATGGGGGTTAGCTCTAGACATTCTGGCTACTACCCCCTACATTTAAAGGAATAAAAAGGAATAATTCAATGGTTACTGTAAGAAATAAAATATTTAACTATATTAGTGGCCGGGCTTGGTGGCTCATGCCTATAACCCTAGCACTCTGGGAGGCTGAGGTGGTTGGACTGCCTGAGCTCACCATGTTGAGATCAACCTGAGCAAGAGCGAGGCTTCATCTCTAAAGGGTATTATGGCGGGTGCCTGTGGTCCCAGCTACTCAGGAGGCTGAGGCAAGAGAATCGCTTGAGCCGAAATGTTGAAAGTTGCTGTGAGCTATGACCCCTTAGCATTCTACCAAGTGTCTCAAAAAAAAAAAAAAAAAAATCCACACATGTCCCTAGTAATCCAGTATGTTTGAAATTAAAATAATATCCTCACTGAGTGTAGTGGCTCCATGGCTCCCACCTGTAATCCTAGTACTCTGTGAGGCTGAGGTGGGTGAACTGCTTGAGCTCACAATTTCAAGACCAGCCTGAGCAAGAGCAAGACCCATTGTGATGGGCATCTGTAGTCTCAGCTACTTGGGAGGCTGAGGCAAAAAGATCACTTGAATCCAAAACTTTGAGGTTGCTGTGAGCTATGGTGCCGCAGCACTCCCATGGTGACTGAATGAGACTCTGTCTCAAAAAACAAAACAAAACAAAAACCCTTGACTTCATCTTTATTATAATCCAATTTTTTTCCCAATTGGGAGCGATCAAAAATATAAAAAGGAAAACGCAGGAGTGATGCAAAAGCAAGTCCAAGTCAAGTGAAAGACTACTTACTATGCACATGATTTTTCTAATTGTGCTAAATGTTATCTTCCAGTTACTCAAAAGAGTATTGTATGTGTGAAATACTGTATCTCCTCTTCTATTACCATTATGTAATAAAAAATGCATGGAGTAGTTTCAAATTTTATTTATTTCTGGGCTTACCTATACCTTTAATATAAATTTTTAAAGCTATAACTTTTTTTTTTTTTTTTTTAGAGATAGAGTCTCACTTCATTGCCCTTGGTAGAATGCTGTGGCATCACACAGCTCACAGCAACCTCCAAATCTTGGGCTTAGGTGATTCTCTTGCCTCAGCCTCCCAAGTAGCTGGGACTACAGGTGCCCACCACAATGCCTAGCTATTTTTTTTTTGTTGCAGTTTGGCCAGGGCCGGGTTTAAACCCACTACCCTTGGTATATGGGGCTGACACCCTACTCACTGAGCTACAGGCACCACCTGCCATAACTTTTTTTTTTTTTGAGATAGAGCCTCAAGCTGTTGCCCTGGGTAGAGTGCTGTGGTGTCACAGCTCACAGCAACCTCCAACTCCTGGGCTCAAGCGAGTCTACTGCCTCTACCTCCCAAGTAGCTGGGACTACAGGTGCCTGCCACAATGCCCGGCTATTTTTTGGTTGCAGCTGTCGTTGTTTGGCGAGCCTGGGCTGGATTTGAACTTGCCAGCTCAAGTGTATGTGGCTGGCGTCTTAGCCACTTAAGCCACAGGTGCCAAGCCAACATTTTTTAATAGAATAATGTATGAATTTTTGAAAACAGTTTGTGGCCGGGTGCAGTGGCTCATGCCTATAATCCCAGCACTCTGGGAGGTCGAGGTGAGAGGATCACTTGAGCTCATGAGTTTGAGGTCAACCTGAGCTACAGTGAGACCCTGCCTCTAAAAATAGTTAGATGTTGTGGGTACCTATAATCCCAGCTGAATTGCTTGAACCCTGGAGTCTAAGGTTGCTGTGAGCTATGACGCCACGGCATTCTACCCAGAGCAACAAAGTGAGAACATGTCTCAAAAACAAAAAACAAACAAACAAAAAAAACCTGTGATTTTTCAAACGCTTTAATAAAGTAATTTGATGTCTCATTCAGTGTCTTTATAGACTCTTAGCATCCATGCATCATCTTTTCACATTCACCAGAAAGTGCTTAAGGAATGCTTGCTTATTTTGATATTTTACCTGTGCGAGAGAGTTATCTTCACCTTGCTTCTTCTTTTTCTTTTTTTTCTTTTTAGACTTCCCACTTGCAAGTGCTCCCTCTCCCTTTTCTTTATCATCATCTGAAACCTGATGTTAAAAGCAAAATATTAAATTTCTTGTGAACCAATTGGTTAAGTTTCCATTATTCAGGAAATTATTATGAAATAATTTCATTCAAGTTTACTCTTTTTTTTTTTTTTAGACAGAGTCTCACTATGTTGCCCTCAATAGAGTGCCATGGCGTCATAGCTCACAGCAACCTCAAACTCTTAGGCTTAATTGATTCTCTTGCTAAGCCTCCCAAGGATTTGGGACTATAGGGACCTGCCACAATGCCTGGCTACTTTTTTTTTTTTTTTTTTGCAGTTTTTGGCTGGGGCTGGGTTTGAACCCACCACCTCCGGCATATGGGGCCGGTGGACTACTCCTTTGAGCCACAGGTGCCGCCCTATTTGTTTTTTAAATTGGAGTTGTCATTGTTTAGCTGGCCTGGGATGGGTTTGAACCCACCAGCCTTGGTGTGTGTGGCTTGAGCCACAGGCACTGAGCCAGAACGTCATTCTCTTATTGGCTATGATAGATTTCTTTACTCCCATGTCTTTCATCACTCACTACAAGATAAATACAGAGGGCGGTGTCTGTGGCTCAAGGAGTAGGGTACCAGCCCCATATACCAGGGGTGGCGGGTTCAAGCCTGGCCCTTGCCAAAACCTGCAAAATAAATAAATAAATAAAATGGAATGTCCTTTAATAAATACAGACTTGTCCACATTTTGATGTTTTTTGGGCTTGGTGCCTGTAGCTCAAGCAGCTAAGGCGCCAGCCACATATACCAGAGCTGGTGGGTTTGAATCCAGCCTGGGCCTGCCAAACAGCAATGACAACTACAACCAAAAAATAGCTGGGCATTGTGGTAGGCACCTGTAGTCCCAGCTACTTGGGAAGCTGAGGCAAGAGAATCGCTTAAACACAGGAGTTGGAGGTTGCTGTGAGCTGTGATACCATGCACTCTACCCAGCGTGACAACTTGAGGCTCTGTCTCAAAGAAAAACTTCATTGGATGGCTAATTCTGTATTACCTTAAAGTTAAAATGTAGAGCTATATGCATTAAAATCTGACCCTTTTAAGGGAATAAATAAGCTATAGAGGGAAAATATTCATAAACCACATAGTTCCAACAAATAACTAGTGTCTAAGCTGTAAAGAAGAATGAAAATCGGCTCGGCGCCTATAGCTCAACCGGC